TTACGTTTTCTGCGTTTCTTCGTTTATTTTCTACGTTTTTACGTCTGCGGAGAGGGACCACATAGTTTCCGCCAACAAGACACCCCATATTTTTGCAGTTTAATTCTTTGTTTTTTTGGAACTCTTCTACCACTGTCAGCTATAAGAACACCCACTGTATTTTGGCGAGCAACTTTTGTAGTTGCGTTATCAAGTGTTGCACTGTCCATTAGCGATTACTTCCCTTTTTAAAAAGATTACCAGCTTTGCGACTATCCGCATTGATCCAGACTACATAACACATCTGACCGGAGTATGCTAGCATCCCTCGGCTTTTTGGAAACGGTGTTTTTTTTTTTTTTGGGTTAGCGGAAGCAAGAAAATAACAGGTGAATTGCTTGTTGCATATAGCATATTCCCTTCTGGCGAAGTAATAGAAGGACGCTGGATCATCATCAGGATCACTAAACAGACGAATCGGATTATGGCGCAGAGCAGTCACGAGAAGGTACACTCAAGACATGAAGGGGCGCTACGATAAAATGCTGACACTTTGTGTGCAAGAATTTTGCGGAGCATTGAAAACACTGAAAACTATTTCAGCAGTTGTCGAGGCGTTGACTGCCGCGTTGAGAGAGCGCATTGGTGTGCCTGGTGAGCTTACAGCGGCTGTGAAGCCCAATCCTCTTTTTGGTAACCAGTTCACAGCTCCACATTTAGTACCGGCAAAAGCACCGGAAGAAGAGTATTTGGGTGACTTTTTTTTCTTTTAATATCTCATTATCATTATACATCTAATTAAGCGTTTGGATGACTTTTTCTTAATATCTTAGTATTGTTATGAATCCTGTGGAGTTAGCTGAGGTTTACTTAACTTATTGCAGGGCCACGTGAAGCGCCACACAAGTCTCCTCCATACACGCATAACTACACATCTCAACAAATGGTATATCCCCCTTCGAGTTTTTACAATCGTCTTTCTGTGCTGTTTTATGATTCTTTTAATTTGCATAATTAAATTGTTTTTCGATTTTTGAATTTTATTTTCTAATTGTAACAGAGATAAGGTGGACTACCAGGACCCCTACTAGCGTAATATTGGTGCTTCAGCGTCGAGTCTCTAATGACCTTGGAAATTCCCACACAAGTTAGCTTGTCAAATGCTAATTATTGTTAAGTAATTGGCATATTTTTCGCCAAAACAAAAAAAGCAAAGAGCTCTATGCCAGGGTCGCTGTTTGATTGGACCCGGAGTTTACACTGGCTTTGAGGAAAACTGGTTCCACTGAGGACTCCCTTTTCACTTACATATTTTTGCAGTACTCATGCTACCGGTAGAAAAATAGATATTTTATTGCAGTACTCATATTATTGGTGGAATCATTTCGGCCACGTAGCAGGTCGATCTTTGGAATTCATCACCAATGAGCCTCCATTTCCGTCCCAGTTTGAGTATGGTGAAGGCCCCGAATGGGGCTTCCGTCCAATTGCACCTCCTGCAAGTGGACTGACGTTTTCCACGGCGCTTGGTGGCAACAGACCACGCGAACAGTTTACTGGTAAGAATTACATTTGCATGCAATTGCATTTTGGAAATACTTAAATCAGATGCAATCATGGTCCGATTCTTCAGCTGCGCAGCTAACAACTTTTGACAACTGCTCTGACCACTGCTGCATCGTTTTTAATCCGCTGATGGCCTTGACTTTCGGTCAGCATAGCTGTAATAATACGAGATTTCTGCTTAATTCGTTGTATGTGCAATTGCTGTATGCCCATTACCCTTCTACTTGCCAGTAGCAAAAAATCTTCAAGTTTCGGTGAATTTAGAAACTCAATTGAAAAACCAAATGATATGATTTTTTACCAAATTATTTGCAAAAGTGTTCACCTGGATGGGCTGTGATGAGGTTATGCGCATGTGCAATTCGGGCAGTAAGTACGTTTAGAAGACAAATAGTCCGGGACAGCTGACTTGGCAAATCCCGTATCAGTCTAATGCCTATCATTTTGAATATTCATCGGAGAAGTGCACGAGGAAAAGTTTGTAAATTTAATAGCGTTTTCGCGATTTTTGGTTTTTGAATTGGCAGTGCTGTGAGGGAATTTCTGGTGCAAGTAGATTACTTTTCATGTAAGGACAATTTTAGTTGTTATTCTTACTTATCAACGTGATGCAATTCTTGCTGCTGCTCTCGAGAGACTCAACAACATGCCGTATCTAAACAAGGTTTGCTTTGAATTCTCCAATAATTTTAATATGTTTGAAATATCTTAAAATTTTGTCAGTGATTTTGATGAACATAACTTTGTGTGAGTAATTTTGAGGCGACGAGTAATACTTCGAATACCTTGAATACCTTGAACAGCTGTTGTTTCATCGATCTCTGATGTTACGCCATCGATGCAGCTGGAACTTCTCCATTTCGATCGATCACTGAGTCTGACGAGACCAGGTGACGCCATAAAGGCGCACGATTGGATCTCGCCATCGTGCTGGCGGCCTCCCCAGTATTCGTTTCATCGCGCGTGGGTACCACTCCATTATCCGCTTCGTCCATCGGTTGTCTGTCATCCTTGCTACATGACCAGCCCAACTTCTTTTTCTGGCGTACATTTCTTCGATTATATCCTGTAC